AGAATAAATATTGGATAAACTACTAGCAATACCATAGAATCCTATGGACCTAGGAGATTTTCCTTCAGATTCCCATACTATACAGATTGTTACCAAGCATTGTGAAATGGAAAGATAACCAATTTATTTTATTAAACTATCCAGAATCTTGTATCAAAATCTGACAAAGAAGGCCAAAAAGAAAAATTATAGACCAGTTTAACTTATGAATATAACTATGAAAACTCAAAATACAAACATGTCAATTTTTCAGCACATTAAAAGAATCATCCATCATGATCATGTAGGGTTCATACTATAAATACAAGAATGCTTTAATATTAGGAAAGCTTTTGACACACTAGAACATATAAAAAGAGTCAATAAGAAAAAATATAATCATAATTGATAAAAATTTGATAAAAGTCAGCACTCATTTCTGATTAGAAAACCAGTCTTAGGTGAGTTTCTAACTAATCTAAAGCTAGAAAGGTATTTCTTTAATAAAATAAAGACATCTAAATTCTTATTCAGTTCAAGTTTATTCCAGTTCAAAGGGCAAAGGTATAGTCCATGTATATTCAGCCTTTTATTCTCCTGCTGTGATTAAAACTCATAATGATGAGCATTGGTAAAGGTATATAGGTCAAGACTTCTGAACAAGATGGCAGAGTAGGTAAACTCTGTGCTTGCCTCTTCCCATGGACACATCAAAATTACAACTAAGTTATAGAACAACTATCATTGAGAACCACCTGAAGACTAACTGAACAGTATTACTATAACTAAGGATATAAAAATGCAGCCATGTTGAGATTGGTGGGAGGAGTGGAGACACAGAACAGGCAGGTACCATACCCACAGTGTGGAGATTAAGAATTGGGAGGAATACTTTGGCTCTGGAGGTACCCCCTAAGGAGTGAGGGGATCCAGTCTCACACTGGGCTCCAGTGCCAGAAATCTGGGGCATCAGTGCCAGAAAGAGGAGTCTCCACAGTCTAGCTGTGAAAACCAGCAGGGATTATGTCCCAGAGACATTTCCAATCAGAATGGTATAAAACTAGAAATCAATTACAAGAAAACTAAAAAACACATAAACACGTTGAGGCTAAATAACATGCTACTAAACAATAAATGGATTAACAAGGAATAAAGTAAGAAATCAAAAGATAACTTGAGACAAATGAAAATGAAAACACAATAACCCCAAATCTATGGGATGCAGCCAAAGCAATTCGAAGAGGGAAATTCATAGCAATACAGGTGTACCTCAAGAAATGAGAAAAATCTCAAAAAAGTCAATCTAACCTTACACCTAAAGGAACTAGGAAAAGAGGAACAAACAAAGCCTAAAGTGAAGAGAAGGAAGAAAATAAAGATTAGAACAGAAATAAATGAAATAGGGTCTCAAAATTACGATGGAAAAGATCAATGAAACTAAGAGCTGGTTCTTTGAAAAGTTAAAATTGATAAACTTTTAACCAAGCTCATCAAGAAAGTAAGAGAGAGGGCACAAATTAAAAAAATCAGAAATGAAACAGGAGAAGTGACAACCAACACCATGGAAACACAAAGGAAATAGAAATGAACCATTATATGCCAACAAATTGGACAACATGGAAGAAATGGATAAATTCCTAAAAACATTTAAACTTCCAAGTCTGAACCAGGAAGAAATAGAAAATCTGAACAAACCAATAACTACTAACAAAGTCGAATCAGTAATCAAAAAACTCCTAACAAATATAAGTTGTGGATCAGATGGCTTCACAGGAGAATTTTGCCAAAAAAGAATTAATACCTTTTCTCAAACTATTCCAAAAAATTGGAGAGGAGTGAAGGCTCCCAAACTCATTTTACAAAGCCAGTATTACTCTGATGCCAAAATCAAAGACACTACAAAAAGAACTATAGGTCATTATCCCTGATGAACATCCACACAAAAATCCTCAACAAAATATTAGCAAACCAAATTCAGCAATATATTAAAAGGATCATACACTATGATCAAATGAGATTTATTCCTGGGATGCAGAGTTGATTTGATACCTGTAAATCAATTAATGTGATACACCACTTAAACAAAATAAGGCTAAAAATCATACGATCATTTTAATAGATGCAGAAAAAGCATCTGACAAAATCCAACATTAATTTATAATAAACTCTCAGCAGAATGGGGATAGAGGAAATGTAACTCAACGTAATAAAGGCCATATATGACAAACCCACAGCTAACATTGTACTCAGTGGTGAAAAACTAAAAGCTTCTCCTTAAGATCAGGAACAAGACATGGAAGTCCACTTTCATCAGTTTTATTCAACATAGTATTAGAAGTCCTAGCCACAGCAATCAGACAAGAAAAGAAATAAAAGCATCCAAATTGGAAAGGAAGAAATAAAACTGTTATTATTTGCAGATTATTTGATACTGTATATAGAGAATGGTAAAGATTCCACCAAAAAACTATTAGAACTTATAAATGAATACAGTAAAGTAGCAAGACACAAAATTAATATTCAGAAATTATTTGCATTTTTATACACCAATAACAAGCTATCAGAAACAGAAATTAAGAAAATGATCCCATTTACAATTGCATCAAAAAAATAAAATACCTAGGCATAAATTTAATCAAGGAGGTAAAAGACCTGTACTCGGAAAACTATAAGACATTGAGGAAAGAAACTGAAGAATATAACAAATAAAAGAGAATCTATTCCATGCTGATGTATAAGAAGAATTAACATTGTTAAAATGTCCATACTACCCAAAGCTATCAAAATACCAATGGCATTTTTCACAGACCTAGAAAAAAAATAATCTAAAAACTTACATGGAAACACAGAAGGCCCTTAATAGCCCAAACAATCTTGAGAAATAATTACAAAATTGGAGGTATCACACTACCTTATATCAAACTATGCTACAAGCTTATAGTAGTAAGCATGGTACTGGCATAAGAACAGACACATGGGTCATTGGAACAGAATATAGAGTCCAGAAATAAACCCTTGCCTATATGGTCAATCTGTGATAAAGGAGGCAAGAATATACAATGAGGTGAAGATACTCTCTTCAATGTGATACATATATACAATGGACTATTACTCAGCCACAAAAGGAAACCTTACAATTTGTGACAGCATGGATAGACCTAAAGGGTATTATGCTAAGTGAAATAAGTCAGACAGAGAAAGACAAATACCATATAATTTCACTTATGTGGGAAATCTAAAAAAAAAAAAAAAGCAAACAAAACAAAAAACTCATAGGTACAGAGAACATTTTGATGGCTGCCAGATGGGAGAGGGGTTGGGGGATGGGTGAAAGGGATTAAGAAGTATAGATTACCAGTTATAAAAATAGTTACAGAGATGTAAAAAGTACAGCTTAGGGAATATAGTCAGCACTGTTGTGATAACTATATATGGTCATATGGGTACTAGACTTATTGGGGTGAGCAATTCATAAGGTATATAAATGTCTGATCACAATGTAGTATACCCGAAACCAATATAATATTGTATGTCAAGAGTAATTGAAAAATAAGTAAATAAATAAAAGCAATAAAAAGCTTTGTCAAATGTAAAATGCTATCTAAATGTGAATTACAATTTTGATTTTGTGCTCTTTGGAATAAATTTCAACTTTAAATGACAAGCCATCTTTGTGAAATGCCAATAGCTTTGATAAATACTCAGCTTTACAATTTCCGATCAGTTATCCAAGGTGGCATAATAATGTTTGGTTTTTTGCCCATGAGTGCAATTTCATTTTCTTCATCTTGATATTACTTTATTGAGAAAAAAATAAATATTTTATTTCTGGTTGACAAAAAGAGAAAGAAAAGGTCTATAAAAAGTACCCTCTGGACAGGCAGAGGGGCAGAAGAATGCAACTGATGCCAGTAAGCAGGTGTGTGCACGCACACACACACACACACACTAAAAAGTGCTAGACCTTGTTTTTCCACAAAAACCTGTGACTACAAAATACAGGGTGGGGCAAAAATCGGTTTACAGTTTTGAGTACACGAAACACTTTGTTTTTATATCATTTATTAATTATTGTATTACTTTTCATTGAACAACCGTAAACTGACTTAAATAATATCTGAAATAGTATAGCACAAGACTATAATAACGTACTCCCAGTTACTCCTGGAAGTTTCTCCAGGTATTCTCTTATATGTACCACAGAACATACTCCTCCCTCCTTCCTCAGCTCAGATCTTTCCAACTTCCCACCGTATAACTGCCAATAATCCCAGTTAGGTAGCTTGCTGGGCATACCTATTCTACACTCAGGGAAAAACAGCACCTGTCATTTCCTATTTTTGCTATTTGAGTTAAAAATGAGTATACTTCTAATATTGCCTTTGAAGTTTTAGAATTAGGTTGTTTTATAAAATCAAATTGTTTATTTCTTTGTGATGTGTGTTGTATGAATCTTCTCTAATAATTAGTAGACTAGGGTTTAAATTTTGAAATTACGGTAATGTATGTTTTACACCAGTATTTTAAGCCTTTTTTTAAAAACCAAAGTCACATTAAGGAATACATTTTATAATGTCACCACGTATACACATGCACACACACACACAAATATTACATATGTATATGTGATTAAATGTATATATATAATTTAAATTTTTACAAAACTTACCAAAGATCTATGCAAAACACTCTGATATTATCTATTCTATTTCATTTAAAAAATTATCAACCCACCTAATTGATTTCCTTAGACCATGCTTTTCAGCAGTTTCATGGTTCTCAACAGAGAGGGCGATTCTTTTGATTGTTAAATAAATACAATTTCTGGAGTTCAAGAATTCAGTTTTGAAAGATGAGGATCCATTGCGTTTTAGAAATATGTCTTAATTTTGTTGTAAATGTTAACTTTTCATTTACAGGCAGGATGCTTTTGGTGCTAATTGCTAGCTTTTCTCTCATTTCTAGGAGAGTGGTAGGGTAAGAAAGAATTTTCTAAATGGTGATTTCTTTTCTTTCTGCAGCTCTCATGTGTGAATATAAGTCTAGTGCATCATTAACACAAGGACCTCACCAATTGGAAGTTACAAATCTTGCCATCAGCTTACCTTATCCTTTTTGGTCTGGTTCTTTTTCTCAGAGCGGAAACATCTTTCTTTCAAGTTGCTTTTGTTGCAGAGTTCAGAAAATGGCTGATAGTGGCTTGGGGAAAAACCCCGCCAAGTGTCCCATCTGTTCGTCTACTCAGAAAGGTGCACTTTGTGTATGTTCCTATAAACCAAGGTTTTCTCCAGTGGTGGTGGTGCAAGCGTCAGCAACATCAAGCCTTGATTATTCAGACTCTTCCGCTTCATCAGACAGGAAAAAAGAACAACACATTATTAAAGATAAGGCCTCCGCAAAAGATTTGGTAAATATAAAAAATTCTACCTCTCAACACAAGTTGAAACCCCATTCTCTAACCCTGTCCCTAGCTCCCTTCATGGGCCCTTGCCAGCTAATTCATTACCTTTTTAACTGTTAAAGAAACATTTCTTTCTTACATGAGAGGTGAGCAAGTTGGTTAGCACATTCTTATATGATATTTCCAACACGGCCCTAATTAATTATTTCCCAAGATTGTGAATAATTTGGAATGTTGTTCCAGCTGCTGCTCCTGCTTTTTTAAATCCTCATCTGAAGATATTTAAAATTGACATGAGAGGGACACATCAATTGGTTGCCTCCACATGAGCCCTAACCAGGGCCAGGGATTGAACCTGGCAACCGAGGTATGTGCCCTCGACTGGGAATCGTACCCAAGACCCTTCAGTCCACAGGCCGACACTAACCACTGAGCAAACCAGTCAGGTCTGTTCCAGCTTCTTTTTAAAAGTAGTTTATATAGAAATAAATTGATTTTCAAGTTGAATTAAATCTGAATTTGGGGGCACTTTTTTCAATGCAGAATGAGATTTATGGTTGTAGTTAAGTATAGGTAGTTGTTATTTAAGACAATTTCTGGTTATCAGATGGAATATCAAATATACTCTACAAAATCAATTTGCATTAGTTATAAGCAATCTATGACTACCCAGTTGGACTGGTTTGGGTGTACTCACTTTTCTAGAGGCAGTGTGGAAGATTTTACTTGATATAGCACAGCTTTAGAGACAGAAAGCAGTACGTTTAAGAAACATTAGGCTCTCAGCCCTCAAAGTCTTACCTTTTTCAAATTCTCGCCCTAAACTGTTTCTTTCCTGATTTGTATCACAGTATAGTTATTGCCATATGGGCATCTCTGAGTTAGGCGTTACTGAGTGAACTGCTACTATGTTTTCATTCGAAGCACATTTTGTGAATATCTGGCCGATAATTTTTTTGTATAACCTATTTGCAGTGGTGGTTATGTTTTGAAACAAGGATGATTGAGAAAGCTGTGAAGTTGCCTTCTCACGATTTTAAAGAATCATTGAGGAGGTTCCGACCTAGCTGCTATGCAGGTTGTAATGTACACTTGCTTGGATTTAGGAGATTCGATTGAGGGACTTCTTAAGGTCTCTTTTAGCCTAATAAGCCAATAAATTGTATAGGGCTTAGAATTTGAAAAAGACAGTGAATTATATTGTACATAATAAATATCATGCCACACACTAAAGATTTGTCATATAATCTAAAATTAGGGTTCGTTCTTTGTCAACATGTGTGTTGTATCTTAATATTACTTTTTTTTGTGTTCCTTTTTCGTCTAAGCCCTCAACAATCTCAAAAACCTCAAATGTAGAGAGAAAGGTATCTCAACAACAGTGGAGTCGGGGCAACTTTGCAGAAGTAAAAGTTCCTCACGTCAGGATGGACAATGGAGCTGCTCTTCAGGTATTTAGAAAGCAAAGTGAAGTGACTGGGAACTTTCAGGTTTCTTCTGTGTCCATGGTTAATGGCAAAAATGATTTAAAAGTAAGTCTCTAAAGGAAGGGAAGGAAAGAAAAGGGGAAATGTACCATTTTCAAGTATGCCGAAGTCTTTACTACAGAAAAGGCATACTATTTTTCCACTCATAGAGGACCAAAGGGAAAGCGGAGGGCATTTTTATTAGATCAGATGAGAACATTTTGGTCTTCAGGTCCTGCCTGCTGCTGAGGGCAATTGTAGGGTCTGTGTAGACCTCTGTAAGGTGCAGACAGAGAGGCCAGATGACTTGAGATGGTTTGTGTTCACTTCCTTGAGGCCTTTCTTTGAAGCCTCTGATTGGATGAATACCAGTGCTGTCTTCCTAGGATTCTAGTTACAACACAAATATTAATTAAATATTAATGCCATTTTAGAAATTAAATGTGTCCTTTTAACATCAGTTTAAAGGAACTTCAGTGAGAAGAACTACAAGAAGAAATTTGCATTAATGTTAACTTTAAAAAAATGTTCTAAGAGATATTTGGCAATATGCTTGAAGTGATCAGAAAAACTTACGAGAAATTCTGACTTGAAAAGTTTAAATCTCTCCTTTTAAAGGGAAGGTGTGCATTTTTAAAAATCTACAAATTTGCTGAGTTTTAAATTTAGTCATAAGAACTTCTATAAAATAAAGGTGTGTATGGTGTGAGAAATTAGGAAAATATAGATAGAAAAGTGAAGAAAATAAAAATCATGAGCCAGATATAAGCAATTTTAACATTTATCACCTTTACTTCACTTTCTGTGCATGTGTAAGTCATCCTATTTTTTCTTTTCAGTTTTTTCCCCATTTTAAATTGTGAAAGATTCCAAGTATGTACATATTTTTAAGAAATAGCCTTAACTGGTATAGTTGAAATTTTTCTTCCTCCTCTTAATGGACAGGCTCATTTTGAAGACTTTAAACATTTCAGTAGAGTACAAAAAGGAAGTTGCAATCATCCAAAATTCTATTTCCTGGTGATAACTACTCAAAATTTAAATGAACATCATTCCAAACATTAATGTAAACACCCCCTGCCGATCCCCCCCCACACACATTTTCAACATTTTCATAATGGGGTTGTATCATGCATGCTTTCACACTCCACACTATATCATGGACTTATTCTTTGTCAATAAAATAGACCTATATTACTATTTTAATAGCATCCTCTTAAATTAATACAAATAAGTCATTTTCCTCTTATTTTTACCACTATGTAATGATGTCAAAGTAGGTAGTGAAGAAAAAGATCAGTTTATAAAAAAACTAGTTGGGCAATTGGGCTATTCCTCTACCCAGACCTCATTTTTAAAAGTCCTGTTTAAACAGTATTAAAATTCTGTGTCCAGGTTGTGGTTCCATAAGTTTAGAAAGAAAATGAGAGTTTAGTTTTTAAAGGTCAAGAAAAATTGGGGAAATGGTTATGGAGTTGAGATTATTTTGTTCTGTGGTGGGGGGGAAGGGTAAATGACCATTTACATTTAGACTGAACTCATTTTACATAATATATAGTTGGGAGTGGCATATAAATATAATAAAAGTAAAATATTTTGTCTTATTTTAATAATCTTAGTTTCCCAACTTTAATGCTCGCTATTAAGTGGTAGCAGGGGAGCCAAAGTAATTATAAGTCCTCAGAAAGCAGTGTCTTGGCGACAGGATGTGCCCCACGTGAGCCTAGGGGTCTCCTTTTACAATAGTCAAGGCCATAAATCGAGCTCCTCCCACAGGGTTCAGCTTCACATACCCAGCCTGTCATTTCCCTCAGCTGTGTATATGCAGGAGGACTCTGACTGGCTGGCTTGCTGACTGGATTTATTGCTTCACTCATCTATCAGTTTGCTAACTCATTCCACATTTGCACTGCTGTCCCTTTGGAATGCCTTCCTTGCCTTGCTTGGATTATTGGCGGGGGGAAAAATCTCAATTTGTTTTGGCCTTTGTTCCCTTCCATGCCAATCTCAGAAGCCCCTCTTTCACAGTGTTTCCCTTTACCCTCCCAGTGTTTTAGCTCTGGTCTCAGGCTCCAATGCCATTTTGTATTTTTATTTTAACTTAAGACTTTCTGATATAAGAATAATCTTGTCTCTTGAGGAGATGACAAATTCTGAGAAAACAGGAATTATATTTTACTCAACTGTGTAGCCCCCAAAGTGTATTTATCACAAGGAAATAGCTAAGGAAAGTCTAACATGTTAAAACTGAATTATTTCCTTCTTTTCTTCCCTTTCCTTCCCTTTCCTTCCCCCTCCCTCCTCTCTCTCCCTCTCTCTTTCTCCCCCCATCTCTTTCTCTTTTTCTTTCCCTTTCCTTCCATTTTTCCTTTTCTCTCTCTTTTCTTCCTCCCCTCTCCTCCCCTTCTCTGCCTTTCCCCCCTCCCCCCT